ATCAATTTGAATTCTAAATTGTCAAAAATTAAAATATTTTCTCAGGATTTAATTTTAGTTTATTGTAGTACATCCATTCTTTCACTGACACAATCCTTAAGATTAATCATAGCCAAGTCACGATCAGCATCCTTTATTCCATGTTTTGTCATATTACCTCAAACCCTGCAAATGGAAGTGTGCATGGAATCACGGGAAGAAACGGGGTGTATTGTGATAACTGTCATAAAGGTGATTGACGGGTCATACTTGTTTTCATCTTCGGAAAGACAGTGGGTGTTACCGGGTGTTCTTGTAATTTACATAAGAAAGGGTGTTTACAACTTTGTAAGGAGAATTGAAATCTACCAGGTGTGCTGTTATTTGAATAACAAAGGATGTTTATGATCTACAGAGTTGCCTACACACAGCTGCTAGCAAGATTACATTCTGATTGGCTCATGTAGAAACGCAGTTGGTGTCACTGTCTATAAATTGGACTAAAGACGGTTTGGGTCGATCACTTCAACTTGCTTTCCTGCGTGTTCTGCTACGATACGATATTACAGGCTACAACCGTCATTCTGCGAGACTTGTATGAACTGCTCTGCAATCTCCTGCTTTCAGCAGTGCCCTCCAGAATACCAGCGTTCCTCTGCAAGCAAGACTCTTGCATTTCTCAGTTGCAGAAGCCATTGACTAGTCCATCAATACATCCTGGAACTAAGGATATCACCAATGCACACTTCCCCAAGCAATCCCCTATTTTAGTGACTATTCATTGTAATTTTCTGTGCTTTATTTCTTGTAATTATTTTGAGAAGTATTAAAACCAGGAGCTTTAACTCAATATTCTGGTGTATGTGCATTTCATTTCCAGTACTATTGAACCCCCTGTCCAGTGCGAGTTCTGTGGGTGGCATTCTCAATTGCGATAAGCAGGCCTTACACCGACATACAGAGTTTGGTTGAAATGACACCTATAACTGAGCATCATCGGTGATGTTCTATAGTACTACAAAGTGGGAAGTAAACATGCTAAACAAAAGTGGCCCTAGCACAGATTCCCATTCAAGCCACCCTGACAAAAAAAAATCAGACAGCGTCAAACGCTCCACTCAAATTTAATTTTTTTTTCTCCAGCGAGTTAATATGCGACAGTATTTGAATAGAAACAGCTTTTTCAATTATTTTTTTAGACAAATGAAACTGGACAGTAGTTACTGTATGTCAAGCTAAAGACATTTTTCTAATGTCAAGGTCCCATTTTTTTTTAACAATGGTAATACAATTGCTTCTCTCAACCTTAACGAGAAACACCATTGGTGAGGAATTAAAACATTTTACCTAGCCACCAATACACTGTTTTAACACTCATGGGTCTAGATGGATGATTTAAGACATCTTCCAATAGTAATTTAAATTACTTTAAAACATGACGAAAAGATAGGAACAGCAGTGTCAAGCACATTAAAGACAATGTTACCAATCTAGTAGTTTTTCAATTATGACCATCATTTGCACAAGTTTTTATATGGTCATCAGTACAGTTACACTACGAGGGAGAATCATGGTCTTATTGCCAGTGAAACAATTAAGGTACCACTTTTATTTGTTCAATGTAATTTATTGGAATAAATATTCACTCAGAAAAAACAGTTCAATAACTTATTTTTTTGATCGATAAAATTCTTATGCAAATCATTTGTAGCAGAGTTGACAATCTTGATCAGCATCTTGTCAGTTTAACATCCACTGCATCCATTCCTACGAAAATCAAATGTATAAATGTTAAGTATTAAGACAGCATGCATACCTGGAACATTGTTACGTTACACAACTGTAGCATTGTAAATTGAGATAACAGACATGAGAACAAGTCTACCTGCCTCTCACCCACAATACAATGCGTTTATCTACTTCCTTTTGACAACCTAAATTGTCATTGTCATGCCGCCAGATGTGGGCTGGTAGTAACGACTACAACATAGGTGCTTTTAAAGGAAGATAGTGATAAACTCTACTGGAGAAAATGTGTACAATAATAAATACACAACAGTATCTGAAGAGGCTTCCAAGATCAAGATCAATCCCAACAACAAATTCCAGGCAATCCCCAGGCAAACTACGAAGTCGAGTTCAAGCATATACAGGGTAGAATTTGAAAAAGGAAATTTCAAGAAGCAGCTAATTGGTCTCAAAAAGATTACTTGCCTGTAAATGCAGATTTCTCTTGTGGCTGGGATATTAATGGACATTATTAACAGTTCACAAATACTCTAGTATTACTCTTGGTCTAAGTCTTCATACTGCAAGGAAGGAAGATTATTATATTTATTTCTGGAAATGAACATTTGTGCCTAATGTGACCTGAGTCACATGATGGAATCCAAATTTAATATAGATCTTTACCCTTATGGAATTTATGTTTGAGCAAAGCCAAATAGACCAAGAATGTTTCTTTCACATTTTCCTGAATTGGTAACTTGGCATCAAGGGCCGACATTAATATTACCGTGTGCCAGCCACTTTTGAATCTAGCAGCATAACCGCTTTCTTATAAACAAGCAGCCTATCGGCTGAGATAGCTCCGCTGATAGCAATGCACATTTCAATTAAAGAACTGAAGACGTCATTAGAAAATGAACAATATGTATAGTATCAAAGCAATTGAACTATTGGTTTTTAACAAGAAGTCTAAACTATCACTTTTTACCAAAAATTACAAAAGTATTCACCAAAATTAGAGAATTGAAGATAGCACAAAATGAACAAACCTAAGAGGTCTACCTTGGGTACATATACACCAAGTATCAAAGCATTCAGGCTTGTAGTTTTCAAGGAGTCGAAAAAGTAAAACATTGACACGGACGACGACGACTGACAATCACTCATATGATAAGCTCTGCTTGATAAAGTCGACAGCGGAGCTAAAAACCGCCAAAGACTACCCCAGACTTCTCAAAACTCGAATCAAGCACCGAGCTTTTGTTTTTTTTAATGTTCCTTGCATGGTCTCTTTCCTCAGTAATGGTCACATAGTAACTCTGAAAAGGAGTGGGAATATGCAAGAATCTGTCCACACCACTGACATTATGCCAAAACATGACGACAGCGGGGACAAGATTGTTCTCCAACGTCGTGGAATGGGAATATACATCATGCAAAATATGCTCAGCTCCCGTACGCCACACTGACAGAGCCAAGTGAAGGCCAACCTCACTGGATGTCATCGTTGGAATTTAAGAATAGACAACTAAAAGTAAAAATATATAATCCAATATTTACATTCTAAGGTGCAGGTTAAATCAGTCAACTTCACAAAGATGAAATCAAAACCATCTCAAACATTCCTTCAGAAAGCCAGTCAATAGTGAACCACAATTTTCAAATTCTGCAAATGAATTAAATATTAGTATTAATGAAAATTAACTTCTAATTGAGTTGGTATCATTACGAAATTCATATAATGCATACTGCTCAGCTCAGACATCCAAGGAAGTGTTATGCCAGCATTGAGACTGTCGTCTCTTTGGTGGAAACTGCGAATGTTTTGGAATTGTTTCATCATTGCTAAGCATTCCTTAAAAGGAAACTACAAATTGATTACATGAAACAATTGTACAGCAAGCTAGTCATGAATGTATTCAAATAAACTCAATCATACACTGAACAAGTTTGTTTTAGTGGTTTACAGATGAACATGTCTCAAAGACTACTCAATATGCATTTTTTTCCATGACTATTTTCACATAAAATGCAATTTTGTTTGTCCTAGAGAAACTTCTAAAACGGCACAATTAATCATTACTTGAACATAAATAGAAATATGCAATTTACACAAGTACATGCAGTGTTCTCTACAATCCAAATTAGCTGGTGGGCGGTCTAATTAGCATAAATTTGCATATTAATTTGCATATCATTTACATACAGCATTCTCGCATTTAGGACATGAACTGCAATACACACTAAGTTATTTACTATTCTCTTTTTAATTTAATTTAATTTAATTTAATTGGAACATGTTACAATTTTTTGAAATACAAACAGATTGGTCACCATCAATATTTACGAAATGCAAAATGTTTGAAATCTGCGATTTATGCGTTCGCAAATTATTCTGCGTTCATGAAATGCAATTCGAGTAACCAAGAGCAAGTACAAAACATAATTGAGTTATAATGTAGAAAATATACGAGATGATTTGCCCACGAAGCCAAAACGGACAATTTGTCAAAACAAAATCCATAACATTTTTATTTGTGGCATCAGTACTCACCCGTGCCGACGGACGGTAAGATGCATTTACGCATGTACGGCCACGATGCGTTGCGTTGCGTTGCGTTTTCACACATTGTTTTGGAATTCAAAAAAAATGCTAGCAATCGGCAAAATAAAAGAATGTGATATGTTCTCGAAAGATAGACATAAAAAATAGAT